GGGGTGGGGGGGTGGGGGGGGCATCCCTAGCCCTTGAATGAGTGGAAACTCTTTGAATCCCCAACGTTCATTCGAGATGTTCTATTCAAATCTCCATAAATTAATACAAAATGAATACTAGTGGGAATAAATTAGCCGCTCGCTAATTAGCCGTTAAGTCATCTTTGAATGTCACATCTTAAGAAGTGGAAGGGGTTTCTCAATGAGTGGCAGTGGCAGGGGGGGTTAAGGCCCAGGGATATGGTACACAGTCTTTGGGTCTTCTCTGCACACACACAGACAGACCCTAATAAGTGTGGACATCAGTATCTAGAGCTTGGTGCCTATGTTAATATTAGTTATGCTCAGTTCACACTCAGAAGATAAAGTCCTTCCTTTAGTGTAAGAGGTGGAGTCAGAGCTGTTTCCTTTCAGACCTGACTGAGGGTACCAGGGGATTGGACTAATTTTACAGCCTTCAGAAGGAAATTGGATGGGCGTGGAAGGAAAGAAATGGGAGAATGTTCAATTTTGGTCACACTGGACTAGAACACACTAAGATTAATCACCCTGCATACATAGAAAGTACACCAGAGAGACAAAGACGCACCACACATAGATACACACGCAGTATATCAGTGCTGCAAATTACACCACAACACTGCAACATGCATAGATATACACATATAAAGACAAAAATACACACACTGTGTCTACTCACATTGTACAATCAGCTCCACCACGGCCTCGCGGGGTTTTACGTTGAAGCCATTAAACTGGCTGGTCTGGCAGCGGTATGAGCCCGTCATCTCCCTGGACACATTAACAATACGCAGCACACCGTCGTAGCTCTCCATCTGCATGCTGCCGTCCGGCATGGGTGCCTCTTTATCTGCTCGTGACCACAGGATGATGGGCTTGGGCTTCCCTGAAACAAGGCACTCCAGCTCCACTGTGTCACCCTCGCGGGCCACCAGAGGGGACTTGCCCCGGGGGACTGTCAGGTTGGGGGGAACTAAGAAAGAGAAAAACAGAGGAGGGACTGATATGGGGCTCTAGAAAGTCAGCAGACGGGGTAAGAGGAAATGGTCATCTGGGGGGAGAAGTGGCATGGAAAGTATGGGGGGAAGCGAATGAGCATCCAAGTTGCGATGGCAATGAAGTGGAGTCTCAGCCACATACACACCTTATATGGGAGGACCATGCGGATATTAGCAGCTGGGACTAAACAATCTGAGCATGTACTTAAAGTAAAACCATCATGGAGGGCAGCAGTGAGGAAGTTAAATGCAATCAAGCAATGGCAAACAATGAACAATGCAATGAAGAGCTGACAAATGTACTTTGTGACCATAACAGTAGAAGAAAATGATAATCAACAATAGCTCGTTTGGGACCAGAAATTTCCACGTACTAAGCCACAGGAGCTAAAAGCTCCCTTTTTCTTTACATTTGGACCGAGCCAGTCTAGCTGTTCCCCCTGCTACCAGTCTGTATGCTAAGCTAACTGTCTGTACTGACTAGAGCGTCACATTTATCTCAAATTCCTTGATGGACTTGCTATGTTCACTTGATCATCTCTCTACCTCTATTGTTCACTTGTGCTCTCAGCCTGCACACACGCTCTCTTCCTATTTTGCTGACAAGCTGGAAACCTGGCAACCTAAACCAACTGTAGAGTACTGTAAAATGTCTGACCCTCTCTCAACTACTGATACTAGTGGCACCCTCTACGTACTGTGTGAATGAAGCTGTACAGAAGTTGCAGTAGCTTTATGTTTGACCAATCTTCGATGTTAAGTACCGTGAACTCTGCCTCAATAGATCCTGGGGTATCAAAAAGTATTACCCAAAGAGCAGGGACTGTTTTGCCACCATGAGCTATGGCAGAAGAACAAAATTTAGTCCATGGTTCTTCCGGTCGTAATGGAGGTATGGTTCCTAAAATAGCTCCTGGGCCCCTGGAAAGGTTCTTGCGGTAGGAATGGGCTATAAGTCACTAAATGCGGAGGTAATAAAATGCACCTAATAATCTTACTATAAACAAATTCTATCTACTCTACGTCTTCCTTAGCAACAACTGTATATTGCGTTAGACTTCTAAGACACCATCATCATTGTCAGCATTGCCATTACAATAATCAGCATTACAGCATTATCATCATCATTGTGACATTTTCATCCCAGTGTTCATCATCACATCACATTCTCATCACTTCCCCGTTCCAATACTATCTTTCAGGATGACTTTCACCACCAGCATTACAGCATTCATAATTCTTATCACCATCACCATCACTTGCATCATTCCATCATTCTCCACAGCTTTTTACTTCTCTGCACACCTCCCCCACGCAGCTACTCAATCTTAGCACAGCGTCATATAATTCAGAGCATTTACAAGAGAACCCTCCCAAAGGTGATATAGCATTATTGCTAGCCGTGTAACAAAATATGACCCAATAAATATTTTGCCTTTGTTTAACGGACATTTTAAAGCCTGGCTGAAAGTGAACAATGAATAATAAAAGAAGTGCCAAGTGCCAAATTGCTGGACACATTTGCACGTTTCCTTGAGTGTGCCGTGTGTGCATGTGTTCTATGTTTGGAAAACAGGAAAACTAGCAGGTTGGATCAGGCAGTCTGGTTTCTCATCAAGCATGCTGGCCAAGTAAATTTGTTTAATTAGTAAACCTGGCAAATTGCACCAGCTCCTAGAGTGCTGTGTGTGTGTATTTGTGTATTCATGTAGTCCAAGCAATCAGGAGACTCCAAGACTATTTTGTAGCACTGCTCCCAAAAATAGTTTACAGCCAGCGAGTGAAAATCTCAGCAATGATGAAACCGTGTCATGCTTCCCTGATGATTTTCGAATCACTGTCATTCTGCCCAAACAATGCTGCAGCTGGAATGAAGTCAAGCCACATTGAAGTTTTATAGTGATGAAATCACTAGCAATCTCCAGAAAATGAAACAGAGTCCAGCTATATTTCTTTTGACCCTATTTCAGTTTGGGTGAGAGGTAACAATCCCACTGTCATCTCAATTCTGCTACTGTTGGCTATTCTTTTTGTCCTTAAAGTGAGTTGAAAGGTACAAACTTACTCAAAATGCAGGCACATTCTACAGTCCCTAAAAACTGGATGTGAACTATAGATAATAATAATAATAATAATAGATAATTCAAACAACATGCAGGTTGTCTCACTGAACTGTATTCATGGGAACATCTTTCCAGATTCAAAAAATCCTAAAGACCTGCAATACCTGGGTTTTTTGGTGTTTCAGGTGCAGCAGAAACAAGCTCTAAACACTGACCAACACATTATAAGCTGATATTGCAAATCTGTTAACAAACTATGGCCCATTTACACATCCAGCAGCAACATTGGCATTCATTTGGAGTCGTGTCTCTGGCTACCTGATGAAGTCCAATATTCATTCATTCATATTTTGGTCCTCACCAACTCCTGAAGGAAATATCTGGCTCTCCAGTGGCTAGATACTCCACTTTGGTCAACAGCAAGTTGCTAACTTTGTCTGTCTGCCGTTTAGTGCTGGGCAGGTAGTGTAGAGTAGGTTTATCAAAACCTTTCACTAAAACCTAAACAGTGAGCTGAAAGGAAGGCTGAGAGGAACTGTAATCGGGCAATCATTACTTGTGATTACTCTCTACAAAGGACACCATTTCACACACGTAGTCATTTGATCCACTGTTAAAATCAAAAATATTCATAGTAGCTTTAAAGCAATTGAGTGTATAGGAAATACTTTACTGATTAATCATTGTATTATAACAGAGGCCTTTTCAGCCATTATAACCCACATCTGCTCATCAGCTAATTCATTTATCTATAACTTTTCAGGTAGTAAGTAATGCATAAACATGTTTGTATCATTAGCATTGGATAATGAGGACTCGCCATTCACAGATCAGTCTTGGCAATGCTGTTTGGCACCAAAGGAGCAGCAAAAATGATCTCCGTGGAGACAATGACAGCGGACACTCATTTCACTCTCATACATTTGTCGATTGGTATTCACACAATGTCTCGACAGCCAGGTGTCAAGAGCTGACATATTTCTTTTTACAGTGTATTTTCTCCACTTTTCTGAACATTTCGTTGGGTCCAAACAGTGAAATGGTGAATTGACAGCAGCGGTATAGGAGGGGAGCAGCAAGCATCCATTAGCGAGCGGAGGAGAGGTGTATTCACTGAGTTGCCATCATTACACCTGGCCTCTCCACAGCCCAGATTAGGCAGGCAATTACAGTTGTCTGCCTATTGGGTTTGGCAGCACAAATACTGGCTATCAGCTGCCATTGTCTCTCTCCTCTCTATCATGGAAACGCATACATGCACACAGACAGTCGCTCCTCACTGTCTCTTGCTGACTCTGTATCTCAGAGTCAGCAGTAGAGAGTATCTCTTTCCAAGCGAACGCCCTGCCTCTGTGTGTGAGACTGACCACTGAGATGCTCAGCATGGCAGAAAGCCCGCTACTGGTCTTCACTGTGCTCTCATTGTGCCAGAGCCATCCAAATGCCAGTGATGCCTGCAGGGCATGCCCGCTGAGTGCGTATGCTTGTATAGTGCGCGCTTACGTGGTTTTATGTGCATGTGTATAGCTGAGTGTTTCTCTTCTCGCCCACGGGTGACACCATGCTGTGATCCTTCCTCAGTTCCTCAATAGGATGTTTCTTGTTGTTGTTGTTGACTGAAAACACTATGTGTGTGCGTGTGTGGTTGTGTACTTTGTGGGCCTAAATTAGGGACTGGACCTCCTTGTTTGGCCTCAGTAGCGCCGCACATCTCTAGGGTCTCAGCTGGAATGATCCTCTAAGAGGCTGATTGTTGGAGCCTTTCCGTAAAATGTGAGCCGACTGAAAAACGTGGAAATATCTGGCACTTTGCATTTTCTTACAGCGAACGGAGCCAGAGTGGTGCACACAGACATTTTTGAGAATAAACAACATTCTTGCTGCCCCCTTTTCGGGTAAGTGCTATGACATCATTCCCCATCACCATGGCAACATGGCAATCTCTACTACTGCAACTCCTGCACAGTGTCTGTCTGTATGTGTGAGAGTGTGTGTTTAGACAGCTTGAGGCCAATGAGTTGGTCACAACGTGACAGGACTCTCTGCTCCTCTGAGTCCTGGACCTCTGGGGACAGAGAAAGGCGTCCCGCAGGTCCACTGTGGACATGTTTTTGAATCTGTGTGTGTTGGTGTGTGTATAAGAGAGAGCTGCATCTGTACCCCAAGTTGCTGAAGTGTAATAAATATCCACAGATGTGTTAAAATTGGTTTAGTGTTTTGATAGACTGCAGCAACATATTATGGACCACACTGACATACTACTGTGAGTATGTTTTTGAGCTCTATGCCGTTCCTCTGAGATTTTATAACTTATCTTGCCATCAATCACACAAACCCCTCATGAATTTGTGTGGCTGAGATTGTAAAGCAGCAGGCCTTTAATACTAAAGCTCTCATGGGTTACAGTTGGATATGTGGCCACACTGCTTGCTGTAATGTTTCCCATCTGTTTTTTAACATTTACCCAACCAGACATAGGGAAAGTCCACCCCCCAGTTTAGAAATGCCCTAATACACACCTCAGATCTTACCACTTTTTCTGCTGTTAAGTACAGAGCAACTCCCCTGAACGGACCAGAGTTTATGTACATCGCTCAAGGGCCTCTGCAGTAGTTAATGAGGGAGGGAAGAGTGTTTTGTATTCATGTTTCCCTCCCAGATTCTCCCAGCTGGACAGGGAGGTGATTTCCCAGATGGCCACCTCCATAAAGCATGACTTCAGGTGATGCAGTTGAGGCTATATGCAGGCACACTGGGCATAATGTGCTGTTATCTAGTCTTATTAACATATTTTATGGACTTAGCTTGAAGTGAAAACTGGTCACAATATACCTACAACTGCAACTACCACTAAGCTTCTGTTTGCCACCCTTTGATTTCCCAGACCTCCATAAATGTACACGTGTTTACAG